ACTGGTGTCTGAGCTCAGAATGATGTAGGTAAGTAAGCTGAGCACACTGACTGCCTTTGCTGGCCATGGCCTGAATGACTCTTGAATTCTGTTACGTGACTGGTAAGCTGTCAGTGCAGTTTGCAGCTACCCTGAGGCCATGATGTGACATATTTTTCAGGAAGTTATATCACTCAGGAAGCCAATATCTTTTACCCCCTGTGCAGTTCCTCTTACCATTCCTGTCAGCTTCTGTCTGCTGTTCTGTATGCCCCACCTCCCACAAGCTCACTTTGTGCCTTCATAAATAGCGAGGCTCCTTGAACAGCTTCTATAGAAACTTAAAGGTAACAGCCTTTGAATCTGTGTGTTTTTTTTTTACTCTTCAAAGCGCTTCCCTGGACATATTATCATTTGATCTTTACAAAACCCTTTCAGGTATGTAGGTTAGGTGTATTATTCTAATTTCACCAATGACAGAAAGAGAACTGATTAGTTGAGTTGTCCATGCTCAGAGTCTTTGCTGATATGGACCTGAGTTAAAACCCAGGTGGGCTGCGGTTGGTGACTTTCTGTTCATCCACTGATAGTCTCAGAGGTAACAAGTAAGGGTTTGGGGGCCAGGCATATTTGGATTTGTTACTTAGTACCATCCCTTGTTAGCTATGTGGTGTTGGTCACGTGGTTAACCTTTAAGAATGTTGTTTCTAACACAGGGGGAAAATTATAACTTATAATATTTTTATTAGGATTTAATAATGCATGAAGATTACCTTGCAAATAATAGTATCTTGCACACAAACAGTAAGTTAAAACTATTATTGTCCACAGCTGGTCAAATATTGGCAATTTTTAAAAATATTTATTTTGTTAATTTGAAAGGCAGAGCAATAGAGAAGATGGGAGAGATACTTGGTTTTCTGGGTCACTTGCTAAATGGCTGGGCCAAGTTGAAATCAGGAGTCTGGAATACTGAGTATCCCACATGCATGGGTGACAGGAGTCCAAGTATTTGGACAATTGTCTGCTGCTTTTTCAGGCATATTAACGGGGAACTGGATCACAAGTTGAACAACTGGACCTTGAATTGCTTCTAATATAAAATTCTCATGTTGTAGGTGGTGACGACTCATGGAATCACAATGCTAGTCCCAAATATTTGCAGTTTTATAGATAGAAATTCAGTAGTAGTGCTTTGATTACAGTTTGAGTTTTTCCTTATGACATAAAAGACTCTTTTAGGCCACAAGAATGTAAATTGAAATAAGGTACATAAAGAACCACTAGACCATGGTCCTGGTAAGTGAAGGGGGGGACAGCCTGTGTCTGTGGCATCCTCAGCACCAAGAATGCTCTCTGCTAGTGAATAGATGCTCAGTAAATGCTCACTAAACTGAAAAAGGCCCCACAACAAGACGATTATCAACTAGGTTAGACAGGCAGAAGTAACTCTGTAATAGTAGTAAAAATATGTGTTTATACAGCCTATGATGAGAGCTCAATGGAAGGAATGCTCATTCTGGGTACAGGGGCGCACAATGGAGAGGAGGGGGCAACACTTCAGAGACTAGCCTCAAGACTAGTTGAGGTGTGGCTGAGGATGGAACCATAGCCATTTTACTTGTTGACTAGATGCTTTTGCTCAACAGCCTCCGTCTAACGTCTGCAGCCAAATGTGTATTCAAAGCCATCCTTTTGTTTGTGTCACAGTCCCTCTGCTGCCAGGTTCTCCCATAATGTATTGCTTTGTAAAGTGCTTTGCTCTATACGCCGCATGAAAGAGATGCTCGGTAAAGCCGGAGTCTATTCTTTGAGTGTCACAACTAGCTGTTGCATAACAAAGTGTAATGTATTGTGTGAGAAGGAATAGAAGTGCACAAGAGATACTTTAAAGAGAGCAAATAAAACATCAAAGAAGAAGAGTGTAGAGTGCATTAAAGTTAATAAACTGTCATGGCAGAGTGGACCACTTCTAAATGTGGAAGAATTGAATTTAGTGACTTGTAACTGTAAGATTAGAATCCCACTGGAATGAAGTTAGCTGCTAGTTTTTCCAAATTCTACATCTTTTAGTTCTCCTTGAGAATCAGCCCTTGAAATTGAACAGGTTGTAGTCTCATAAATACATGTACACAAGGATACTTCAAATCATTCATACAAAATGGAATTAAAAGATAAGTTTAGCGGCAAGCACTTAGCCTAGTGGGTGAGATGCGATTGGGATGCTTGAGTTCCATACCGGAGTCCTAAGTTCAACTCCCAGTTCCAGCTCTTGACACCAGCTTGCTGCTAATGCAGAAACTAGGAGGCAGTGGCAATTGCCCATGAAATTGGGTTCCTGCCACTCAAGTGGGAGGCCTGAATTGAGTCACTGACTCTCAACTTCAGCTTTGGCCCCATCCAAAATCTAGGTTTTGCAGGTATCTGGAAGATGAACCACTGGATGGTAGTTCTTTATATCTTTGCCCCTATGTATCTCAAATGAATAATTTTTTGAAAGCTAAGTTAAGATGGGTGTTAAAAACTTTTGACATCAATATATATGAGGATCCTCTACAAGTTCATAAACTGCATATTATGGAAAAATTGTGCATGGATTTTGCATATTTTAATAGCTAAATAATGTTATCTTTTAATTCATGTTTCCTGCATTTTAAAAAATCATTGTGTGCATTTTATTCACAACTGTTGTTAAAAAAAATATTGATTTTTGAGAGGAGCACAGACACACACACACACAGAGCAGAACAGATAGAGCTAGACCAAGAGCACACTGCCACTTTTTGGTTTACTCTCCAAAGACTAGCAAGATCTGAGAACTGAGTCCAGGGACCCATGTACTTAAGCAATCACCTGCCAGCCCCCAGGGCATGCATTAACCGCAAGCTGGAATCGGGAGTGGAGTTTGGACTTAGAACCAGGCATTCCAGTGTGGGATGCAGGTATCCCAGCTGGCAACTGCACTACTAGGCCAAATGCCAGCTGCTATCCTCAGCTCTTTGAGGTGCTCCTGCTGTCCTGCCTCCGGAGATTCAGTGCTGTATACTCTCCATCTAGTGACACTTTTCTTGAAATTCTGGGAGGAGAAAGTTAGTCCCAGTTCACTTGCCCATCCGCCTGGTTTTCAGAGCTTATGTAATCATCAACACAGAGACAGAAAAACCTCAGGTGTGAATTTGGCCCAGACATGAACGACTAAGCTGCAGGTCTCAATCACAAAAACAAGGCAGTCGATACTAGGTCTCCTTGTTGGCAGTGTTGAAGGATGAATGTAACAGCAAGGGTTTCAAAATATTTGCTGCCAGAACTCGGATAGACTTTTGGGTTTCTTCAGCCACAAAATGTCCTTGGTATCTTAGATCCAAATCACTAGTGCCCTTTGCAGGGGATCTTCTCAGCCTGAATACATTTCTTTTTCTTTGGTTATTGAACACTTCTGCACCATGCTTATTTCTTTCTTGGCTGCATTCTCCGTGTTTGTTGGGCCCCAAAATCTTGGCCTTCTTCAGACAAGTAAAAGATGTTAAGTGGCATTATGATTGCATGTAATCTCTGTAGAAGAATGAGAATCCTTGCTCTGATTCTGGAAGGTGCCATTTGTAGCATATTCCCTAGAGTTAAAAAGATGCCATGTTCATGTATTGACATGTTGGTATTGCAATGTTGTTGACTTTGGGCCATTATGTAACTGTTTTGAGTTTTAGTCTTCCATTTTGAGTAATGGGAAAGAAATGTCTAATTTATCGGGTTGCCATGAGCACCAATAAGATTGCATATGATGAAGTGCTGAACCACACACAGCATGTAACAGCTGTGCAGTAATTGATTATTTAAAATAAATCAAAGCAGCATTAATAGAACCAGTTCTATTGAAGTAAGGAAAGTGCTTTGGGATGGATGAGAAACATAAAAAGAAATGATGGAGGCTTATATTCTGTAGAGTATTATGTCTTTGAATCACAGTGTAGGATTTAGAGGCATATGTGGAAATAATAAGGCATGGGTCCTCTGTAGGTGAAAGCTGATGAGCTGTAGGAAAATATGGAGACAGTTATTGTTGAAGTCATTGCTACATGATGCTGTTGGGAAAAGAAATTAAAAACCTCTCAAATATGGTTTCAACATCACTAGGACTATTAATAGTAGTTGTGTAAGATACAATAATTGGAAACCTAAGCAAATCAAAATAATACTGTTCTTTACAATGCAATAATATGAAAGACAGTGTGGTATAAAGCAATAGAATACAGATTGTAATATAGTGGTTGAAAGATCTGAGTTCAAGTTTGTTTCACTTACTTAGTTCATGGTCTTAGGAAGATCATTTAGCTCCTTGGAATCAACTTCAACCTCTATAAAATGAGGATATAAATTTTTATTAATTTTTCACAGTAGTTACTGGGGTTATGAGAATCAACTGAAAGGACTAATTAAGAAGATCATCTAGATGCTGCTGGTTCTTAATATTTAATATTAACAAAAAACCATTAAAATGGTAGTTGAAGAATTTTCTGGCTGCTGTTCCTGAGGGAAACTTGAGCTGAAGGCAGCAAAGTGTGGGACTTCCTAACTGTGGCTTGCCACATCCATCTTCTGTTGCTGGCCTCTGCTAAGCCCATTTTACTGATCACTTTGCCTGACCTCTACAAGAGCAGTTCAAGTACAGGATGTCAGCAGAGAGCCAGGACCTCCTTCTGGACACCCTTGTGACGGGCATGCACTTGACCTAATCACCCAGGACCCTTTGTAACCTCTGTCCCTCTGTTGAGTCTTTTTGCAGCTGGTGGCTACAGCAGTGGCATCTTTGTCTTTCTCAAAGGTATCTGAGGATTTGAGAAGTTTCTTTTCCTCTGTCTCTCCTGAGCAAACATAAGAGATAAAAGAGGAGATTGATAGAAGTTGGGTTGGATGACCAAGGAAGGGAGCTATGATCCTTGGCTTGTAGTATTGTGCCTCTTCACGTACAAGCTCTGCAGCACTGGTGTCGTCTTAACTAGGCTCTTTCCTCTCTTTGTTTCCAGGGAGTCGAGAAGTTGAAGATGAAGCTCAGAGCAGAGTGCTGTTCTCTCAAGTTCTGGTTGGTGTTGGCTGTCCTGGCCGTGTCAGGCAGCAGAGCTCGTTCTCAGAAGAGCCCACCCAGCATTGGCATCGCTGTCATCCTTGTGGGCACTTCAGACGAGGTAGCCATCAAGGATGCCCACGAGAAAGATGATTTCCACCACCTCTCTGTGGTGCCCCGTGTGGAGCTGGTAGCCATGAATGAGACTGACCCAAAGAGCATCATCACCCGCATCTGTGATCTCATGTCCGACCGGAAGATCCAGGGGGTGGTGTTTGCTGACGACACAGATCAGGAAGCCATCGCCCAGATCCTCGATTTCATCTCAGCACAGACTCTCACCCCCATCCTGGGCATCCATGGGGGCTCCTCGATGATAATGGCGGACAAGGTAAGAGTGGCTGAAATGGGAGGAGCGTGGGGCGGATAGTCGTCTGCGTTGAGGTCTGAATGCTGCATTTGCTTGATGGCAAAACTTGGTTGTACAAGATGAAATTTAAGCAGAAGGCATTGATTGAGTGGATAGATGAGGCATTTGTTTGTTTGGAGGTGAGAGTGAGGGAAAGATGGCTGGCAGTTGCAGCTCCTATAGTTTTGAACAGGTGTGTATCTTTGTGAATAAACCCACTGAAATGATGGGAGACATTTTTTTCCTCCAATAGGCTCATGAATATCTTCAAAATTTTAAATTATGACATACTCGATTCTTCTTTGGCAATATATATTCTCTTCCCCCACCCTCATTCTAGTTTTAAGAATTATAAAAACTCCCTCGAGGCAGATAATTTCTCTCCATGGAGATGCAAATGTCACAGGGAAGTAATTCTTGTTCATCACACACATTGGTCTGCTTCTGCTTGTACAAATGGATTTTAATCCTCAGCAGCTGTATGTTCCCCAGGCTAAGAATGGAGGGCAGTGGTTCATTAACTTAGTTGCACACACTGAAGTAGCCTGGAGAGCTCTCTCCCCCACCAATGTCTGGGTTCCCTGTTCTCTGTGCTGGAGAGCCTGATTGTTGACTGGGTTTTGGAATCATTGGAGGTGTGGTTGGTAGGAAAGAGCATTGGACCTGGGTGATGGAGACCTCAGGATGCAATGTTTGCATCTAGTCTGGGGCTGCCTGGGTTAGAGTCCTGGCTCTACTCAAAATTCTAGCCTCTTGCTAATGAACATTCTAAGTAGCAGTGTGTGATATTTCAAGTAGTTTAGTCCCTGTCACTCACATGAGACCTAGTTTGAATTTATGGTTCCTAGCTTCTGCTTAGCCCTGATGGGTATTTTGGGAGTGAACCAACAGATGAGAGCTTTGTCTCACTATCATCTCTTCCTCCTGTCCACCACAAACAGATTGCTAAAAAGGAATATAAATGGTGGTGTAAGCTTTTGGTGCACTAAGCCACCACTTGAGATGCCTGTATCCCATTTCCTAGTTCCTGATCAAGTCCTGGATCCTCTATTTCAGACCTAGTTTTCTAATAACAGGTTCCCTGGGAGGCAACATATGATAATTTAAATCTTTGAAGTTCAGGCCACCCATGTTTGAGACTGTGGACACTTCCACTGTGTCCGTGGGCTCCTGCCTTTGCTCTGGACCAGCTGCTGCAAGCATTTGGCAAGTCAACCTGCAGATGGAAGATTTTCTCTCTCTCTCTGTTTCAAATTGAGTGGAAGAAAACAATGGCAAAGATAGGTAATTATATATATATACATATATATATACACACGTTATATATATGCACACATATATAAATTATATAGAAAACTCACCAGGTGACTATAATATGTGATTAAGTCTGAGAACCACTGCTTTATAACTGCAAATATAATAGCATCTCTTGTAAGAACGTTAGATGAGTTGTCCTGTGAATGAGTGATTATCATTTGACACTGCTGCTTATTTCTAAGGGCACAGAAAGTGTTTTGTTTGGGGTTCTAGTTTGCTTTTGCATTTTCCAGTTGTTTTTCCTTGCTTTATTGATTAGTATTCACTGCTTAGGTAAAGCTCTTCTCACATATATATGTTTCTTTGTAACAATTCATACTCTAGAATGATTCATTTCTCTTTACAACATTTATCATTTTGCTTTGGATTACTAAAATCATCTCTACCATAACACTGTCATCTTATATTATCACCTTGGAAACTGCCTTGAGTTTTAGATTGAAAAGACACACTGTATGGTTAATGACATTTGTAAACACTTCAAAACCTAGTACAGACATGCTGGTTGGCCGACTGATCTACCCACCACAATAGTGGGTTGGCAGAGGCTAAAATAACCTTCCATAACTGTTACCACCACCTGTTGGTGGCAGGAAAAAGCACTCAGCTCTGTGGCAGAATTCCCTTCTCTTTAATCTATGAAAGATCAAGTTAAATGTCAGTATGAGAAAGATGTTCACATGGGCTCAGGTGCAGATATCAGAAAACGAGTGCTGGCAGAAGCAGCCCATCCTAGAAAGTGGAAGAAAAAATGGATAATATAGACTGTGTGTGCCTAAGCCCTTTGAGTTTTTGATTCAGGTAGATGTTTTGAAATATCAATGTCCTTAGCAAATGGTATTTCCTTTTAGCAGTGGTATTTTTGAGGACACAGTATTGTATTGAAAAATACTGGCAGGGACATTTTTTTCTGAATGTTTAAGTCCAAAATAAGAGCATACTTCTTTATAGAACACACAGTTGAAAATGATTTATTTTTCTTTTGCTTATGTGGGCTATTGTGTGTCCTGATATATCCCTTTTCCCAGTAGTCAATACTGATTTTATGTTTCTGTATCTCTTACAAATCTTCAACATCAATTTAAAAATATGAAGCAAGATACAGACCATGCAGAGACCTGGGCTGTCTTTCTCCTGGTGTATCCTAGGTGTCCTGAGGATGTTGACCGTGTGACAAGCACTTAGTACTTCATCTGTACATCTGTACTATTGTGTTTATTACTCTGAAGTACCCAGTGAGCTAAGTGTGGATGTTCAGTCTCCATCTTAGAAATGGGGTAGTTGAATCTCAGGTTAAAGAACATATTCAAATCTATGTAGTGAAGATTTTGACAGTTAGTTGCTGGCTCCAAAAAATACTCTAGAAAATGATATGACTCCAACAGATCTCCCATACCTCTCTTTTCTTTGCCTCCTATTCTGTTGCACAGTGTTGTCAAGGCAGGGGATATCTGACTGCATGGAGCCCAGCACCTGATCCATAATAAACTGTAGTGCAATGTTGTAGATGCCCAGGGTGGGTGGCTGCAGATGAGTCTGGAGTAGGAACCTTATTGACTTAGAGGGTCAGAGCACCAGGAGCCCTGACAGCTTGTGCCATGGAATGTTCATGAGGAGGCAAGTGGAGTTCTTTGCTCTAAGAAGCAACTCTCAAACATTAAGCACCTCCAAATCTAAGACCAAGTTGGCTCTTTTTATAGCAAATGTTTGTTTTTAAGTACCATTGCCATATTTTATATATATAGAATGGGGACATGCAGATTGACAATGATGAATTGATTATGGGGTAATAGGACAAAATATTTGAAAGTGGACCTGATGCAGAAAATCTAAGACATGTATTGTGGCTGCCTTTAAGGCTTGCATCAAACATCCAGATGGTGAGAAATAAACCTTCTGAAGTGCTTCTAGGAATAGGTAACTGCCACTAGCTTTTAACCTAGGAGTTGTTGATCTTGTCATGAGTTGCTTTGTTCAGTGTTCTTGTAGAGGGTGCATTACAAGGATCAGTTTCCATTATTCAAGAAGAGTTTTTTTTTTTTTAACAGAGAGAACCATCACATTTTATTCACTGGTTCACTTCTCAGGTGTCTACCAGAGTTAGAAACTCATTCTAGTGTCCTGGGTGAGTCATGGAAACTGGATCAGTTGAGTCATCAGCACGCCACTGCCTCCCAGGGTCCACATTTGCAGGAACCTGAATTGAGGAGCCAGAGCCATGAACTGCATGCAGGCATTCAGATGCAGAATGTGGGCGTTTTCAATCCCAGCCTGAATGCCCACCCCTTCCAGGAGTTTTTATGTAGAATATACAGCACATTACAAAGACGTTGGCCAAAGGCAAAGCAGTTTTAGCACTTCAGCGCCTGGTTTGATAGTATGTAGCTGTTTTTGTTTATGCCAATTAATGGAAAAATATTCATTAGTACTCTGCCTTCTCAATTAGGAATTATGCCTTCAGCTATGGTAGAATGAAGTAGGGGGGTTAGTGGAAAAGAGCCACTAAAAGCTCAGAATTTAGCTCAGATCAAAACTGGTTCTATCCATGACTTCCTCAATATTTAGCAGCCAGCCCCTTCCTTCAAACTTTGACATGTTGCCCACTTGGTGGAGATCGTCATCTATTGGTCTTAGGGCTTTGGGAGATTAAATGATGTGGGACCTAGCAAGTGCTTCACTCAGTGCCACACTCATTAAGCAGATTGAGCCAAAGCTTGTATGGACTTGAGAAAGTGAGAAGGATTCATGATGCACAGAAAGAACAGGTATGGAGACCAAAGAAAAAGAGGGTTCAGGTGATAATCCAGGGGAGGTCTCTGGGATGTAGGGTGGGGCTCTTCAAAGTGGTATGGAACCTGGCAGGAGCGTGCTAACCAGGGAAATTCTGCCAGTCACTTGTAAGAGGAGACTGTTTTGAATAGGAGCAGAGAATATTTAAAAATGTATGAGGTGTTTTTTTTGGCAGTCCCTCACCTGAGTATAAAGAACCTATTTGTTTTCCCTTGTTCTAATTGTTTTCATTTTCCCCAAGATCCCGGATTTAGAATGTCTGCCTCAATCCAAATAATGAACTAAAGCTAGTTGCATTTTCATTTTTTTTTTTCTGCAAGGCTTCCGCACTGATTGGCTGAAATATTTCTTGAATGCTCAAATCGTAGCTTGGAGAAGTGAAGTCACTAATCCACTGTGTTGCAGCTCACGGTGAGCAGTGGGATTGGAATTCAAATCCTCAATCTCTATTTGGAAGCTCCATCCTTCTGTTCTATAATTCCGCTTCACAAAACACTGAGCTGAGAATTATAAATCCTGAATTTTAGTCTTTAATCTGACAAGCCTTGAAATTTTAGGCATTGAAATCTCTTATGATGGGGCCAGCATTTTAGCATAACAAGTTAAGCCATGGCTTGTGATGCTGACATTCCACATCACAGTGCTGGTTCAAATCCAAATTCCATCCAACTTCCGGCGAATGTGCCTGGGGAGACAGCAGAAACTGACCCAAGTATTTGGGCCTCTGCTACCCTCCTGGGAGACTCAGATGAAATTTCTGGCTTCTGGTTTCAGATGGACCCAGACCTGGCTTTCGGAGCCATTTGGGGCAAGATCTTCATCTCTGTGTATCACTCTGCTTTTCAAATAAATAAATCATGAAAAAAAACCCACTT